TTGAAGGGCATCTAGGTTGGTTCCACAGTCTAGCTATTGTGAATTGTGCTGCTATGAACATCGATGTAGCAGTGTCCCTGTAGCATGCTCTTTTTAGGTCTTTAGGGAATAGACCGAGAAGGGGAATAGCTGGGTCAAATGGTGGCTCCATTCCCAGCTTTCCAAGAAATCTCCATACTGCTTTCCAAATTGGCTGCACCAATTTGCAGTCCCACCAGCAATGTACAAGTGTACCCTTTTCCCCACATCCTCGCCAGCACTTGTTGTTGTTTGACTTCATAATGGCTGCCAATCTAACTGGAGTGAGATGGTATCTTAGGGTGGTTTTGATTTGCATTTCTCTGACTGCTAGAGATGGTGAGCATTTTTCCATGTACTTGTTGATTGATTGTATGTCCTCCTCTGAGAAGTGTCTGTTCAGGTCCTTGGCCCATTTGTTGATTGGGTTGTTTGTTCTCTTATTGTCTAATTTTTTGAGTTCTTTGTATACTCTGGATATTAGGGCTCTATCTGAAGTGTGAGGAGTAAAGATGTGTTCCCAGGATGTAGGCTCTCTATTTACCTCTCTTATTGTATGTTTTGCTGAGAAAAAACTTTTTAGTTTGAGTAAGTCCCATTTGTTGATTCTAGTTATTAACTTTTGTGCTATGGGTGTCCTATTGAGGAATTTGGAGCCCGACCCCACAGTATGTAGATCGTAGCCAACTTTTTCTTCTATCAGACGACGTGTCTCTAATTTGATATCAAGCTCCTTGATCCATTTTGAATTCACTTTTGTGCATGGCGAGAGAAAGGGATTCAGTTTCATTTTGTTGCATATGGATTTCCAGTTTTCCCAGCACCATTTGTTGAAGATGCTATCCTTCCTCCATTGCATGCTTTTAGCCCCTTTATCGAATATAAGGTAGTTGTAGTTTTGTGGATTGGTTTCTGTGTCCTCTATTCTGTACCATTGGTCCACCCGCCTGTTTTGGTACCAGTACCATGCTGTTTTTGTTACTATTGCTCTGTAGTATAGTTTGAAGTCTGGTATCGCTATACCGCCTGATTCACACTTCCTGCTTAGCATTGTTTTTGCTATTCTGGGTCTTTTGTTTTTCCATATGAATTTCATGATTGCTTTCTCTATTTCTACAAGAAATGCCGTTGGGATTTTGATTGGCATTGCATTAAACCTATAGAGAACTTTTGGTAATATCGCCATTTTGATGATGTTAGTTCTGCCTATCCATGAACAGGGTATATTTTTCCATCTTCTAAGATCTTCTTCTATTTCTCTCTTTAGGGTTCTGTAGTTTTCATTGTATAAGTCTTTCACCTCTTTTGTTAGGTTGATTCCCAAGTATTTTATTTTTTTTGAAGATATTGTGAATGGAGTGGTTGTCCTCATTTCCATTTCAGAGGCTTTGTCGCTGATATACAGGAATGCCTTTGATTTATGCGTGTTGATTTTATATCCTGCCACTTTGCTGAATTCATTTATTAGCTCTAATAGTTTCTTTGTAGACCCTTTTGGGTCTGCTAGGTATAGAATCATGTCATCTGCAAATAGTGATAATTTAAGTTCTTCTTTTCCTATTTTGATGCCTTTAATTTCTTTCGTCTGTCTAATTGCTCTGGCCAGTGTTTCTAGAACTATGTTGAACAGAAGTGGTGAGAGAGGGCATCCCTGTCTTGTTCCAGATTTTAGAGGGAATGCCTTCAATTTTTTTCCATTCAGAATGATGCTAGCCTGAGGCTTAGCATAGATTGCTTTTACAATATTGAGGTATGTTCCTGTTATCCCTAGTTTTTCTAGAGTTTTGAACATAAAGGGATGCTGTACTTTGTCGAATGCTTTTTCCGCATCTATCGAGATGATCATATGGTTCTTATTTTTAAGTCTATTGATGTGGTGAATAACATTTATTGATTTCCGTATATTGAACCAGCCTTGCATCCCAGGGATGAATCCTACTTGATCATGGTGCACAATTTTTTTGATATGTTTTTGTATCCGAGTGGCCAGAATTTTATTGAGGATTTTTGCATCTAGGTTCATTAGAGATATTGGTCTGTAGTTTTCTTTCTTTGAAGTGTCTTTGTCTGGTTTAGGTATCAGGGTGATGTTGGCCTCGTAGAATGAATTTGGAAGTTCTCCCTCTTTTTCTATTTCCCGAAGTAGCTTGAAAAGTATTGGTATTAGTTCCTCTTTAAAGGTTTTGTAAAACTCTGCTGTATATCCATCCGGTCCTGGGCTTTTCTTAGTTGGTAGTCTTTTGATGGTTTCTTCTATTTCCTCAATTGATATTGGTCTGTTTAGGTTGTCTATATCCTCCTGACTCAATCTGGGCAGATCATATGACTTAAGAAATTTATCTATGCCTTCACTATCTTCTAATTTATTGGAGTATAAGGACTCAAAATAATTTTTGATTATCTTCTGTATTTCTGAAGTGTCTGTTGTGATATTGCCTCTTTCATCCCGTATGTTAGTAATTTGAGTTCTCTCTCTTCTTCTCTTCCCTAGCATGGCTAAGGGTCTGTCGATTTTGTTTATTTTTTCAAAGAACCAACTTTTAGTTTTGTCAATTTTTTCAATTGTTTCTTTTGTTTCGATTTCATTAATTTCAGCTCTGATTTTAATTATTTCTTGCCTTCTACTTCTTTTGCTGTTGTTTTGCTCTTCTTTTTCTAGGATTTTGAGATGAAGTATGAGATCATTTATTTGTTGGTTTTTTCTTTTTTTAAGGAATGAATTCCAAGCAATGAATTTTCCTCTTAGAACTGCTTTCAATGTGTCCCATAGATTCCGATATGTTGTGTCTGTGTTTTCATTAATCTCTAAGAATTTTTTAATTTCTTCCTTGATGTCTTCTATAACCCATTGATCATTCAGTAACCTATTGTTCATTCTCCAAGTGATGTATTCTTTTTCCTTCCTTCTTTTATCGTTGATTTTCAGTTCCATTCCATTATGATCAGATAGGATGCATGGTATTATCTCTACTCCTTTATATTGTCTAAGAGTTGCCCTGTGACATAATATATGATCTATTTTTGAGAAGGATCCATGTGCTGCTGAGAAAAAAGTGTAACTGCTTGATGTTGGGTGGTATATTCTATATATGTCAATTAAGTCTAGGTTATTAATTGTGTTATTGAGTTCTATAGTTTCCTTATTCAACTTTTGTTTGGAAGATCTGTCCAGTGGTGATAGAGGTGTGTTGAAGTCTCCCATGATTATTGTATGGTGGTCTATTAGACTCTTGAACTTGAGAAGAGTTTGTTTGATGAACATAGCTGCACCATTGTTTGGGGCATATATATTTATGATTGTTATGTCTTGTTGGTGTATGGTTCCCTTGAGCAGTATGTAGTGTCCCTCTTTATCCCTTTTGATTAACTTTGGCTTGAAACCTATTTTATTTGATATGAGTATGGATACTCCTGCTGGTTTCCGAAGTCCATATGAGTGATATGATTTTTCCCAACCTTTCACCTTCAGCCTATGTATGTCTTTTCCTATCAAATGCGTCTCCTGTAGGCAGCATATTGTTGGGTCTTGTTTTGTGATCCATTCTACTAGCCTGTGTCTCTTGATTGGTGAGTTTAAGCCATTAACATTTAGGGTTATTATTGAGATATGGGTTGTTCTTCCAGCCATATTTGTTTATTTATGTTACTAAACATGGTTTGTTTTCCTCTTTGATTATTTTCCCCCCTTTAGTGTCCTACCTCCCACTGTTGGTTTTCATTGTTATTTTCCATTTCCTCTTCCTGTAATGTTTTGCCAAGGATGTTCTGAAGAGATGGTTTTCTAGCTGCAAATTCTTTTAACTTTTGTTTATCGTGGAAGGTTTTAATTTCATCTTCCATCCTGAAGCTTAATTTCGCTGGAAACACAATTCTTGGTTGGAACCCATTTTCTTTCAGTGTTTGAAATATGTTATTCCAGGATCTTCTAGCTTTCAGAGTCTGTGTTGAAAGATCAGCTGTTATCCTGATTGGCTTACCCCTAAATGTGATCTGCTTCCTTTCTCTTGTAGCTTTTAAAATTCTCTCCTTATTCTGTATGTTGGGCATCTTCATTATAATGTGTCTAGGTGTGGGTCTCTTATGATTTTGCACATTCGGCGTCCTGTAGGCTTCTAGGATTTGGGGTTCTGTCTCATTCTTCAAGTCTGGGAAGTTTTCTCGTATTATTTCATTGAATAGATTGCTCATTCCTTTGGTTTGAAACTCTGTCCCTTCCTGTATCCCAGTGACTCTTAAATTTGGTCTCTTGATGTTATCCCATATTTCTTGGATGTTCTGCTCATGGTTTCTTAACAGTCTTGCTGAGCTGTCTATGTTCTTTTCAAGTTGAAATACTTTATCTTCATTGTCTGATGTTCTGTCTTCTAAGTGTTCTACTCTGCTGGTAGTATTCTCAATTGAGTTTTTAAGTTGGCTTATTGCTTCCTGCATTTCTAGGATTTCTGTTTGTTTGTTTTTTATAACCTCTATTTCCCTGTATAGTTGATCTTTTGCTTCTTGGATTTGTTTATGTAATTCATTGTTGAAGTGATCTTTCATTGTCTGATTTTGCTGTCTGATGTCTTCCTTGAGACTCCAGATCATCTGAAGCATGTATATCCTGAATTCTTTATCTGACATTCCATCTGCTGCAGCTATTACCTCTTCTAACGTTGAGTTGACCTGCAATGCTTGTGGTCCTTTCTTTCCTTGTCTCTTCATACTGTTCGCGTTCCTTTCTACTTGGTGAAACTGTTGTGCTATTGAATTTTCCCCCTATATATTTATATTGGTCTTGTATGGTTGCAAAGTCTCCCTCGCAGGCGCGGGCGGCGGCTCTGCCCCTCCTCCAATTGGGCAATGTGCCTACCACGCCGGCAGGCCGCTGGGCCTGCTCTGCCGGTCGGTAGCAGGTCCGCCGACCTTGCAGGCACGGGCGGCAGGGACCCTTATTTTATTTCTAAGTTAATTATGAGGTTTGTTTTTGTTTTTGTTTTTAATAGTGTCCATGGGCTACCCCTCAAAACACAATATCCTGTTCTTTGGCTGATGTAATGAGTGAACAGTTGGCTAAAGAATTACAGTTAGAAGAAGAAGCTGCTGCTTTTCCTGAGGTTTCGTAAGTAAAATTCACAAAATATCTATTTTATTTGGTAGCTTACTATAACAAAGTTTAGGGATTTGATTAATGATTGTCATGACAAGCAATTAAATACATTTTAAAAAGCAGTGCAGTAGAAAGAGCACAATATTGGGAATGTACTGATATTTAAATTTTGGTCCTGATTATGTGACAGGTTTTCTGTACAGGTTCAACAACCCAAAAAGCTTTGGGTGCTGAAAAGACACCCAGAAAGTTTCAGATTTTGGAGTATATCAAATATGAATTTTCATATTAGGGATGTTCAACTGATAAATCCTATGCAAATATTCCAAAAAAGGAAAAAATTCCAAAATCTGAAAACCTCTGTTCTCAAACATTAGGTATAAAAGATACTCGGCTTATATGATCTTGGATAAACCACTCTTTCTCTTGAGTTTTGTTATTTCTTATTAACGTAACAGCTGAACTAGGTGAGGTGTAGTTCTGAAGTGTTTGTAGTTTTATCTTTTTATAAATTTTTATCCTTTAACTAGAACACAGAAAAAATGCATTCTGGGTTTCAGTTTGAATTTTCTAATAGACCCAATAGCATTCTCTTCTGGCTCTTTTAATCCTGGCTGGTGTTGTCATAGGTATAGGCCATTGGTCTTGAGGCTGCCTGGGCAGGAGACGGTGAAGAGAAGGTTTTGTAGAGTTCTGCCCATTGTTAAATACAATTCTAACCCTAAAAAGGCATATCTTACTGTCATAATCAACAGGCCCTGTTTGCACCAGCATATTATATTAGTTTATATCACTTTATTTTGAATAGTGTTGCTGAAGGACCATTTATTTCTGGAGAAAACACTGATACTTCCAGCGACCTAATGCTGGCTCAGATGCTACAGATGGAATTTGACAGAGAATATGATGCACAGCTTAGGCGTGAAGAAAAAAAATTCAATGGCGATAGCAAAGGTATTATTACCTTATTGTGACAACTCCATTGAGTGATAGAAAATGCTTATACTGTTCTCCTAAATAAATCTTCAACTATTTTTTCCTTTTAAGTTTCCATTTCCTTTGAAAATTATCGAAAAGTGCATCCTTTTGAAGACAGCGATAGTTCCGAAGATGAGGTTGACTGGCAGGACACTCGCGATGATCCCTACATACCAGGTATCAAAGCTGTTAGTTTTGGGGGGATAGAATAGAATAGTATAGAAAACTTAATTTTTCCAATGAATTATTTTGGAATCTCATTTAATGATTTACTCCATTAGATTCAAATGTTTTCAGGCAGTGTTGAATGTAGTAATTTAGTTTCTTCTATTTTCATATATTTGGCTTATCTTAATTGCCTTTAGCAAAACCAGTTCCTACTCCCAAAAAGGGTTTTATTGGAAAAGGAAAAGATATCACCACCAAACATGATGAAGTGGTATGTGGCAGAAAGAATACAGCAAGAATGGAAAATGTAAGTTACAGAGAATACCCATCTCTGAATCAAGAGTTTTGTTTGAATGTTTTGAAAACAGGATTCTATGCAGAATATCTTAAATTTCTAAAAATCCGTCTTTCTGAAGACATTAGCTGTTTATATGGCAATGTAGCAATATCGTGCAAACTCAACCACTTGAGAATATACAGTATCTCAGAATAAAACCCTATATTATTTAAAAAATTAAAATGACTTAACATTGATCCTGAAATTAAGAAATTGTTCTTATATAACATTCATTTTTCATATTATTTTTTATCAATAGCATCCCTACCCAATAAATACAAAACAGTGATAACTGAGCTAGGAATGAGAGGGAGAAATACTATTTTTAAAAGATAACATTTTGGGCTGGGGATGTGGCTCAAGCGGTAGTGCGCTCGCGTGGCATGCGTGCGGCCCGGGTTCGATCCTCAGCACCACATACAAAGATGTTGGGTCCGCCGATAATTAAAAAATAAATATTAAAAAAAAAAAAAAAAGATAACATTTTAATTTCCATAAATATTATGATTAATAGAAAATAGACCTTAGAACACAAATGCTTGTTAAGTAAATATTTTATTAAGTATATAATTTCTAAAAGTATTTCATATCTGGTTTAAGAACACTGCCATCCATTAACACTTTCTGTGTTAATGACAGTGCTCTGTATCTGTGCTTTCCAGTATGGTAGCCACCATGAAGCAACTAAGGAACTGAATTTTAAGTTCAGTTTAATTAGCTCAAATTTAAATATCCAGATGTAGCAAGTGGCTATCTAATTGTGCTATGCAACTCTACAATGCAATTGTCATAAATGGGATGGGCATAACTTGCTATGCTAACTCAGTTCTCATAAATAATTATGATATTGATTTCTTTGGTAAGCCTTCACAATGCAGTACTGTGTACTTTGGCTGATATTAAAACGAGGTTCAAAGCATACACTGAAAGACCTTAATTTTAGGTATAATTGGACGTTATCTGTGTATAGAATAAGTACCTTCCTTTGGACTGTAATTTTTTAGTAGCATTTCTCCTGTTTGTATTAGTGACTTATTTTTCAGTGTAGTACCTATGGGTTTTTTGTTTTTTGGTTTTTTTTAGTTGTAATTGGACACAATTTCTTCCTTCCTCCTTTCCATCCTTTCTGCCTTTCTTCCTTTCTTTCTGCTGAGAATCGAACCCAGTGCCTCACATGTGTGAGGCAAGCACTCTACCACTGAGCTACAGCCCCAGCCCTGCGTTTTGTTTTTATAGCATGATTATCTATTGAGTAGGAACTCTGTTCCAAGTAAAGACTTCACTATTTTTGTTTTGTTTTTCTGTTCCCAACTAAAAATATTTAGATGCTAATTCTTCTATTTTTGTTAGTTTGCACCTGGATTTCAGGTAGGAGATGGAATTGGAATGGATTTAAAACTGTCAAACCATGTTTTCAATGCTTTAAAACAACATGCCTACTCAGAAGAACGTCGAAGTGCCCGCCTCCATGAGAAGAAGGAACATTCTACTGCAGTAAGGATCTTAGATTTTTTTTTCCTTTAATATATTCATATTAGAAAACTTGATGTGTGGGAGGGAAAACAAAATAAAATTTTATGTTTGATATTTTTCCACAGGATTGGTTTTTCGAATCAAAGATGTAAATATAGTCTAAATGACTTTGCCATTTGACTTTTCAGATTTAACATAATGGTTACTAATTACTTATTCAAAACGTACATTTTAGTGGTCATAATTAATTTGGACTGTTATAATTTACATTGCATCTGAATGTTCCAGGATTTTTAAAAAAATTATTTCTCTATTGATATATTTGTGACCTATAAGTCTCTAATGAATTCTTGATAATGCCTACCATCTTGATAATAAACTAATTTTGTTAAATATTTAGAAAAATAGTAGGAATGTTAGAGCTTTTTAAACTGGTGATAAAATAAGATTTTGATTTAGTATCTCAGTTTTTTTTAAATCTCCACTTTACTTTTTTAGATTAAGGACAGATTATGAAAATCACAGCCAAATCTCTTGAGAAAGACCCTGGAGGCAGGAGGACCACATAGGGTGGGCCAGGCAAGGTCCTATGTGTTTAGTCCTGGCTCAGGGCTAGAAGGAAGGAAGCATTGTCTCATGGTTTCCAAAAGTGTCTCTGTGTTGCATAGGTTCTACACAGAAGAGCAATTGGGGCCAAGGATACCTGGTTGGGGGCCTAGCTTGGTGGAAAGTGTGTCTAAAGCTGGAAGGGGAAGTCAAAAGCCAGGGGTTTTGGAAGGAGAGGAACTCTGCCTCTACCTTATGGAGAGAGATGGTGTCTGTATATTACATGCCTGTTAGGTACCCCTTGCTGTCTTGTCTATTGCTTCTCACTCCAGGGGTGTCTACTGTATATTTGGATCTAACCCTAACCATAATCCTGGGAGTAGGGGAAGGAAAACATACTTATTGCTGTAATGGGGAAGGGGTGGCAGGTGGTAGAATAGTGCTGGTGCTTCCCATGTTTCAATTTGCTCTTTCAAAGAGCATCTTTGTCTCTCTTGGGGGACAAAGAGAGAGGGCACCAGTGGACAGCGAGTCCTAAGTGTCAGTTTGGCACCAGACATTACCAGAGCCAGGGCCATGTAGAACCCATGATTGTCTCTCTACCTGTCCATTTCAGTGCCCTACCTGGGAGGAGGGAGCAGAAGGGGCAGGCACAAATAATATGGTGTAGACTCCATGTCTAGGCTTCCCTTAGAGAGGCCAAAGTGTGCTCCTTTCCAGCTTTGTCGGGAAGGAAGAACTAAGATGCCAGAACTGAGATGCTGTGAGGAGGAAGATGATGCCCACTGTCAGGGCAAGTGTTCCTGCTTGGGGCTGGTTCTGCTGATGCTCTTGAGCTTGAGCACCTGGGAGTTACCTCCCTCAGAGTCTTTACATTGGGGCCCATAGCAAACCGGAGGAGAGTGGAGACCAGCTTCTTCCCAGAGTGTGGGGGTGTTTCTTTTTTCTTTTTTTTTTTTAAGTAGATGGACACAATACTTTTGTTTATTTTTATGAGGTGCTGAGATGGAACTCTTAATCTTTAGATAGTTCTAGTGCAGATTGTGGGTGGGTGTGGCTAGAGGGGAGATGGGGCCTAAGTTGATTTTGCTCACTTCTGCCCTTTGTCCTCCATTTAGAAACTCCTCTCAAAACTCCTTCCAAACTGACCATGTTGGGCAATCTCTTTTCAGAAGCTCTCTTTCCCTTGGGACATTAGCAATTGCAGCTCTGCTGTCAGCCCTTTGAGTCCAGTCTTCAAGAAACCCTGCCCCTGAGGATGTCCCTTACAGAAACAGTGACTGTGCAGCACAAACTTGGGACTTTCACTAAACCCATATTCGCCTCATGGTACTATCTGAACTCAGACCTTGAGATCTCCAGGCCCCATGCCTCATTTTAGCTATGACTCCCCTTAGCATCTGACTTGGAATGGTTCTTTTAGCTATTACTCTCAGAGATACTAGAGTTATATGAAATGTATCTTCATGGCACTCTTTTAAGATATACATCTAAGTAAATTAAATAATAAAGTTTTAAAAAGTAAATATGTATTTTGAATGTTAGGTCTTAGAAATGGCTCAGAAAATGATTTTTTATTTGTTCTATTCAGATGTACGTGACAGCAGAGTGTATTTTGACATACGTTCATGGAGTATAACTTAGGATCCCGTTCTTGGGGTCGTGCATGATGTGGAGTTTCACTAGTTGTGTGTTCATATATGAACATGAGAAAGTTATGTTTTATTCATTCTACTGTCTTTCCTATTCCCATTTCCCTCCCTTCCCTTTATTCCCCTTTATCTGATCCAGTGAACTTCTATTCCGCGCTCCCCCCATGTATGTTAGCATTCACATGTCAAAGAGAACATTCAGCCTTTGGGTTTGGGAACTGGCTTATTTCACTTAGCATGATAGACTCCAGTTCCATCCATTTACCCACAAATACCATAATTTCACTCTTTCTGGGTGAGTAATGTTCCATTGTGTATACATACCACATTTTGTTTATCCATTCATTTGTTGAAGGGCAACTAGGTTGGTTCCATAACTTGGTTATTGTGAATTGGGCTGCTATAAACATTGATGTGGTTGCATCACTATAGTACGCTGATTTTAAGTCCTTTGAGTATAAATCGAGGAGTGGGATAATTGGGTCAAATGGTGGTTCCACTCCAAATTTTTTGAGGAATCTCTATACTGCTTTTCACAGTAGTTGCACCAATTCATAGTCCCACCAGCAATGTATGAGTGAACCTTTTTCCCCAAATCCTCACCAACATTTATTGTTACTTGTATTCTAGATAATTGCCATCAGAAAATATTTTATAATAAGTCATTTTACTTACAGTATTTTATCTTTTGCAGGAAAAAGCAGTTGATCCTAAGACACGTTTACTTATGTATAAAATGGTCAACTCTGGAATGTTGGAGACAATCACTGGCTGTATTAGTACAGGAAAGGAATCTGTTGTCTTTCATGCATATGGAGGGAGGTAAATGAACAAAATATGAAATCCTTTCTCCCCAGGATTAACAGATTTATACAAAGTCAGAGTTAACATTGCATGGCAAGTAAAATTATTTAAAAAGTATTATAGAAAATCTAGATGATATAAAAGGTATTCATTTTGTATTTAAGAGTTTTTAAATGACTTGGTCAAGTTCTTGTCTTTAGTTTTCTTAACTATTTAATTAACTAGTCTCCCTTTCTAGATAACACATATACTGATAATATATTATACTATTAAGTTCTAAAAATGAAGAGGGTACAAGTGAATGTTGAGGCTGGGAGTGTAACTCAATGAAGTCCCTGGGTTTGATCTCTGGCACCAAAAAATAAAAGAAAGAAAGAAAAAGGAAAGAGTTTAACATTGGAGCTTACATTTTCCAGTTATGTGATCTGAAACAAGTTCCTAAACGTCATTAAAAAATTATATCTCACCTCATGGGATTTTTGTCAGGCTAAATGAGATCATGTTTGATAATATTGATATTAATTTTAGTCAGCATATATGTCCTCCTTTAAAGTTTGTTTCCCTCTTTATAAATTTCAACTGAGGATTTCCTGAGTCCAGGCAATATAAATAAATAATACAGATTATTTAAAAGTGAAAGATTACTTATGGTGGTGGATTAAAACTTGTAGAAAGGATTAAAGTGAAAAGTAGTCTTTATCTTTCTTACCCTTGCCCAATAGCTGTTTCTCCAAAAGAAACCACTAGTAACAGTTTTAAGTCTATAATTTTACAGAAATTTGTATGTGTTTGTCCGTTACTTTGCATATGCAAAAAGATCGTACTCTATATTCATGATCTTTTTTTAGCTAATATATATTGGACCTTTCTATATTACTAGCCTGTACCACCCCATTTTTAAGAGTGCATTCCATTACATATAAGAATATCCTTATACGTTAGTGTATCTTTGCAAATATGTCCTTAGACTAAATTACTAATAATGAAATTGCTGGTGCAAAGACTATGAATTTTTTCTTTTTCTTTTTTGGTTAAGCAGTGGAAGGCCTCACAAAATGAGGAGTATATGAATTTGTTCACTGTTTTGGCCCCTAGTTGGCTATTGTAGCAGTGGTGTTTCTTGACTTTTCTATATTAAAAAGTTAACAATTACAAAATCTTTTTTTTTTTTTTTTAATGATACTTTGATATAATGAATATTTACTTTCCTTCTGGTGGTATTGATATCATAATCTGTGTTTCTGCGTTTAAGTTAGCAAATCTAGAAAGCATCGGTTTTGTACAACTGAAAAATGTTTTCAAAAACATATATAATGTGCTATATGTAATGAATTGCCATAAATTTTGCAACTCAAAATAATACCCTTCCAGCAGTTCAGGAATCTGAGGCAGGAGGATGGTGAGTTCAAGGCCAGCTTCGGCAACTTAGTGAACCTCTGAGTAACTTAGTGAGACCATATATTAAAATAAAAAGGGCTGTATATTTGGCTCAGTGGTAAACCCTCCCTGGATTCTATCTGTGGTACCTAACAATAACAACACCCATCTTCTCATAGTTCCTGCTGACAGGAAGTTCAGGCCTGGCTTATTCGGTTCTATGCTCAATTGGGTTCTCTGCTTACAGTCTCACAAGGCAGTCTTAAGTGTTGGCCTAGCTATGTTACTTTCTGAAACTTGGAGTCCTCTTCACTTGGCACCTTTTACTAGCAGTTAAAATGAGCAATGGTGGTGATTTGGACTTGGGTTGTAGTGAAAGTGAAGATATGCGAGTTCCTACTCTTGTTGGCTATCAACTGGGGCTGGCTTGCTCTTAACTCCTGGCCTTGTAGATCCTCACCATGTGACCCCCTCACAGGCCCTCATAGTTCATGTAAAAACCAGCAGGAGAATCTCTTCCTTCATTCTGTTAAGATTTTGTCTAAATGTCACCTTTGCTATATAATGTAACCCAGTCTAGGGAATGGCTGTCCAATTCCCTCAAGGACAGGGAGTTATTATATAAGGGGTGCAAAACTTGTGGGGATCGGCTTAAAATTCTTCCTTCTACAAAGCTCTTCTAGTTTCTGGCATTTTCCAGATGGTCAAGCCATTGACAATGTTTTTTTTTTGTTGTTGTTGTTGTTGTTGTTGTTTATGGTTTTGGTGCTAAAGATTTAACCCAAGGCCTGGCACATGTTAAGCACGTACTCTACCACTGAGTTACAGCTTCAGTCCTGTAGTCAACAATTGCTCACATAGTAAGTTGTGTTATACTTTTCAGGGAGTAAAGTATAAAACATATTCTCTACACTCTCAAAGAATTTATGCCAAGGAGAGAGAACATTATAGCAGGAATGGTTATGGTCAATAAAAGGTAATTAAATAACAGAATGCCCAGTTATACAAGTGAGACCTCACTGCACATAATAACAACAGAACAAGATCATTGCCAGGTAGATTCAGGAAAGGCATTGCAATAAAGTTATATCTCAACCTACATTTTAAAAATAGGCAAAACAAAACCAATGTTGAGTACAAAAAGTTATTTGTAGGATATATATAGTATACCATCTATAGATGTTTATTCATTGGACATTTATATACTTTTAAAGTTAGATAAGGATTGTGGTTCAGACAATAAGATTAGAAGGTACATGTGTGAAGGTACCGGGCTTATAGTAGGGTAGGGATGGGGAGCATGGGAGGAATAGATGAATTCTAGATAGGACAGAGGGGTGGGAGGGAAAGGGAGGGGGCAGGGGATTAGCAAGGATGGTGGAATGTGATGGACATCATTATCCAAAGTACATGTATGAAGACACGAATTGGTGTCTTCAACCAGAGATATGAAAAATTGTGCTATATACATGTAATAAGAATTATAATGCATTCCACTGTCATTTATTTTTTTAAAAAACCAATTAAAAAAAAAGTTAGAGGAATCTGGTGTTGTGGCACATGCCTGAAATACCAACTGCTTGGAATGCTATGCAGCAGGATTACTTGAGCCCAGAAGTTTGGAGCCAGTCTGGGTAACATAGCTAGACCCTGTCTATTGAAAAAAAAAAAGGGTGGGGGGATGTATAATTTGCTAAGAAATAAGGAAGTGTTGGGTTTTTTTTAAAATTATTTTTATTTTTTAACTAGGAGAATGATAAGATAAATCATATATTTAGACTCTTCTACAAATCTTCTAAAAGAAGTCTCTGGGTTGTTTGTTTGTTTGTTTTTTGGTGCTGGGGATTAAACCTAGGGCCTTGTGCATGCAAGACAGGCACTCTACCAACTGAGCTATATCCCCATCCCCCTTCTCTGGTATTTTTGATAGGGCCTTATGTACTATATGGTTAAACTATTCTAATGACAAAGAGTTTGTTTATCACCTCAAAATCTAGCCTTTTCTGTCTGTGATATCTTTAGATTCTTTGTATGTCCTTAATCTCTCTCCCTGAAAGTCACTCCGTCCATTCACCAATAGTTGAGCAGCTACCATGTACCAGGTCCTCTTCTAAGTTCTGAGGGTACAGCAATGAATGGTACAAGGAGGGTCCCTGCAGAGTGTGCTTCTCCAACACTCTTCCAAGACGATATTAAATAAAAATTTTCAGTTATGTGCGATGTCATAGTGACTGTTATAGTGATTCATTGACTGAATTTGATTAGTAGAATAAGAAGTGACACTTGAATGACACATCTAGGCTACCTCAAAGGTCAGGTTGAAGGACAGTCTAGACTAGAGAACAGCTAGTGCTTAATGCTTTCAGACAGGTACAAGCTTAGGGTTTTTGAGATAAAGTCCGAAAGCCAGAATGGCTGGAGCACAGTATATGCAGAGGAGAGATAAGGCTGGAGAATTTGGCAGGGTTTGGTGTAGGCAGGATTGTGAACCAGGGCAATAATCTGCTGTTCATTTAACTGCAGTGGGAACCAAAACTGATTTTATTTTCGAAAGATGACTCAGGCTACTATGAGGAAAGAGCATTATAGTAAAAAGTAATTGTAGCAGTTGAAATGAGCAATGGTGGTGGTTTGGACTCTGGGTAATAGTGAAAGTGAAGATACAGGAGACAACTGTTGGTGTGTGTTTTGAAGGCAGAATAAAAAGTTTGTACCCTTTGGATATGGGAGGTCTCTTGGCTTGAACATCTAATTGTGTACTATTTACTGAGGCAAGACCCTAGGGAAGTGTAAGTTAAGGTAGCAATCATCAAGAGTTTTGTTTTGGACATGTAAAGTTGAAGATGCTGGCTAGACATCCAACCAAATGTTGTCAAATTGGCATTGGATAAATGAACCTGAAGTTCTATAGGAACTAAGGACTGGGATGGAAATGTGGGTTTTATACATACAGAGATGATATTTAAAGCTATGGGCTATATACAATTGCCCAGAAGGAGAAGTGGGGTTTTTTTAGAATCATTTGGAGGATGCTGACCTTTTAAGGCTAAGTAGAGGAGGACAAGGAATCAACCAGGAGAATAAGGTACAGATGAAGGTTGGTAGTTTGATTCAGATTGTTCTCTGGAAATACATTCCTTTCACTTCAGATTAATATCCCTTCAGATATTTAAAGGTAAATACTGCTCTCGTTTCATCCACCTCCTCTTATTCCCACTGCCACCACCATGACTTGGGCCCTTTCAGCAGCTCATAGTTGGAGTATGTCACAAGTCAGCCCCACACTCAAGCTTCTCCCCCCTCCCTCCCATCCTGATATTCTGGTTGCTTGATTGTGCGTCTTTGAGAGTGTCGTGCTCAGGAGCCCTCAGGATTCCTCACTGCTTTGGGGATATGACTAGGCTCTTCATAGATCTGTCTTCCCCGCCATCCCTTCAGCTCAGCTTCTTTCACTCCTCCCCAGCCTACTCTTAACTACAGTGTTTAATAATCCTCAGATATATCCTGAGGCTTCTACCTCTGCTTTTGCTAATATCGTCAAGTCCTACCTATTGTCCTGGTTCTGTTTCAGTGCCATTTGTGCCATGAAGCCTTGCTGCACTTTCCAGTCCAAAGAGACCTGTCCATTCACGTGCTTCTTTGATTCTCTCCTGCCCTCCTTGCATACTTACTGGACAGGGACCCCTTCACACACCTTTATATCTGCTAGGAATGAAAGTTATTTTTTAAAAACCACTCTTTGTGTTGCTCCTATTGAATTTTGCCCCTAAGCCATCTCAGGTAGACTGTGTCCCATTTTAAAGTGCATATCTTTTCATTGCTTCTCAAGCTTGATTCCTTGGTCAATCGGGGACATTAAATGAAGAATATTTTATAATGGACTGTTCAAAACTGACTGACAATTTATTTGAAAGAAAACCAGCCAGGTACAGTGGCATGCTTCTGTAGTCCTGGCCCCTTGAGAGGCTGAGGCAGGAGGATTGCTTGAGGCAAGCCTGGGCAACATAGCAAGACATTGTCTCAAACAAAAATGAAAATCCCAAAACCCAAGTTTCTTAAGTTCTAACCTGAAGGCTTTAATAAATAAATAAATAAAAATTTGACCTTCTCAGAGAAGGTAGATCTACTTTAGTGTTATAGAATTTTTATTTTGTAATTGTTTCACTTGTGAACTGATAACTTGTACTGATTTAACTTTTCTTCTCCACTTAGCATGGAAGATGAAAAGGAAGATGGTAAAGCTATACCTACAGAATGTGCCATCAAGGTATTTAAAACAACCCTTAATGAGTTTAAGAATCGTGACAAATATATTAAAGATGATTTCAGGTTTAAAGATCGCTTCAGTAAACTAAATCCACGTAAGATCATCCGCATGTGGGCAGAAAAAGAAATGCACAATCTCACAAGGTAAAGAAAATCATTGTGCTAGAAGTAACCTTGGGTAATTGCCTTTTAGTGTGAGGACTACTAGCCAGGCAAAAAGTCCATGCTTTCTCTTATATTCATTTATAGAAATAATGAAAAGCCTTGAAATTCTAGTGCTTCTGAGGTTATATTTCTATGTATATAACTGGAATTCATACTTTCAGGATAAAAAAGTCACTTTCTTTCCCCAGTGACATTTGAGGAAAATATTCTGCCTAGACATTTTATCACATTTGAATTGTCTTTGAATTATAAACTGTCTAGCTTCCTGTTAGGCTTAGTACAAATAATGATTTCCCTTTTTGTTTGGGAAAATGTTGTTTATTATTCTAATTTGTTAATTTGATGGGGTTAGGATCTTAACCAATCAAATTGATTTTCCTTTCATTTATTAGACTTAGTTCTCAATTTCTAAGCAGTTTATTTTCTATCAAGGAATTTGTTTCATTCAACCAAGAAATTAAGTTCCCTATTAAATATTTTCCCATTAATTAAATCTTCCTATTAATCTATAGAAAACTTAATTTTGGTTCTTTTCTAAAAATGTTTGGTTTCAAAAGCAATTATCCACATTTACTAGTTGCAAAATTCTTCTACTTACAGTTTTCAAGTTGAATAAATATCTTAGGTGGTTTTGCTGCTGCTCTGATCCCATTTCTATACAGCTAAGCTCTCATCCCTGCATTTCTCACTTTGTCAGCAGCTATCATAATCTTTAGTGTGAATTCAAAGACCTTTTGTGACATGAAACTTGACCATCTCTATAACTTCACAGATTGCCCTTCCCTGTCCTCACAGATCCAGCTATGTTGACTAATCTGCATTCCCCAAATGGACTGTGCTCTTGAATGTCTCTGCATTTTCTCATAGTGTCTTAAGATGGTCTTCTTGCTCCCCTACTCTTTTAAAAAGCCTGTGTGCTCCTGTAGTGCCTGCTCACATCTTTGCCAACATATGTATCACACTTCCCTCTATTAACCTCCTCATGTGGCTGTTACTTCTACCACTCCATGGGTTTCCTATGGACAGAGGCTCTCTCTTAGTGTTTTTGTGTTCCCATGTTACTAGGGTGGGACATAGTGCCACCTCGTTGCAGGCCTGTGTTAGGTGTTTGTTAAATAAATGACATACTTTCTCCTTTTGATCTTTGCATTCTTAATTATTTCTTTCTGTGTAGAATGCAGAGAGCGGGAATTCCTTGTCCAACAGTTGTACTGCTCAAGAAACACATTTTAGTTATGTCTTTTATTGGCCATGATCAAGTTCCAGCCCCTAAATTAAAAGAAGTAAAGCTCAGTAGTGAAGAAATGAAAGACGCCTACTATCAAACTCTTCATGTAAGTTGTGTCTTTAAAAGCACTCACATACTGCTGACCTTCTGTCTCAGAGTGGGGATCCCCTTTACCACTGAGCTGTATCCTTAGCTCCTTTTATTTTTTGAGACAGGTTCTCACTAAGTTGCTTAGGGCCTTGCCATGCCTGGCCTTGAACTTAGAATCCTCCTGCCTCAACCTTCCGAGTTGCTGGGATTATAGGCGTGTGCCACCATGCCCAGCTTCACACACTAACTTTTAAAAACATTTTTTTCTAGCCTAGTGTGCTGGTATACCCCTGTAGTTTCAGCTAGTTGGGAAATTGAGGCAGAAGGATCACTTTTGAGTCCAGGAATTGGAAGCTAACCTGGGCAACATAGGAACCCCCATATCAAAAGAAAAAAGAAATCGTTCTCTGAATTAAAAAAAAAAAAAAAAACTTCTTCAAACAGTATTATTTAAAGGTGATATTAAGGGCAAACTACAGTTTGTAAAGGAATGTTAACATCAAAGAGTTATTTTTACACTGATATTTGGTATCTTGAGTAGTTCTTATCTTAAGATAAGTCTTAAGAGACTCGTGGAGCTTCATTGTTGACATTAGTGATATACAGCATGAAGCTGTTTTTCACAAAACTACCTTAATATTCATGTTACTAGACTTAGTAGGTAAAGTGCCTCCTTAGTGTGTATGTCTTTTTGAGAGTTCTGGCTCTGAAGGAGGGACCTGTGGGTATGGCTGGGAAATAAGAAGTTGAATTGGTCTCACTATAAGAAAGTGATGATGAAAATTGAAGGTAGTAGGGAATGCAGGCACATGTCAAAACTCTTAAGGGAGTTAGTCATACTTGGGATATAGTTGAGGCCTTTTACCTTAAGAAAATGCTTCTATACTGTTGTGATTCCTCTGTTTTTCTAATTGAACACTGGCAAAACTTATGTGCCTTTTGCGTAGTCTTTGTATGGAGACATCATGTCATGCAACAATTGATCTGAATATGAAAGTGTTAATTGAAAATAATTTGTGAAGGTGTACTAGAAAGATGAGCCACCTCTCCCTGCCTCCAATAAGAGAAGAGTGAAAAGAAAATCAAGCCATTTTTCTGGATTCTTTGGGACATGGAGTGGTTGGTGATTAAATTGATGATAAACCTTTGTTATTTAATTTTATTTAGGCTAGAAAACAAATACATAATGTTGGGTTCTATTACAAGGCTAGGAATCACTATCAATAATGAATATACTGTGCTACTTAATTTAAAAGAGTATCTCTTTTCTAACATGTTTGGAAGGAAATTACCTTTCCTGTTTATACTCATAGAGGGATATTTGTCCTTTTATAAAGGGAAGTAGCTTCCCTTATTCCCCTGATTATTGACTGCAGACACAACTGCCATCTTACCTACATGAGAATCCAAATCTGACCTTTGGTCTCCTGATCTTGGTATCCCAAGGGCGAGGAAATAACAAGTTACTCTCCATTGTTTCACTGTTTCTTCACTATCTAAATGACAGCAAAATTCTAGTCCTAGATTACACAAAGTAAAGAGGAAATAAGTTTTTTGGACTAGGACTGTAACTCAGTTGTAGATCATTTACCTGGCATGAGTATAGCCTTGAGTTTGATCCCCAGCATCACAAGAAAAAAAGAAAAGAGGTTTTATAACCTTGTTTTGTTTTTCTGGAAGATATTGGTTGCTGTACACATTTTATCTATGTAGATAAATTAGAATTAGTTTTCTCAATGTTTGCCTTTCTTCCCCCAGTTGATGCAGCAGTTATATAATGAATGTACACTTGTACATGCCGACCTCAGCGAGTATAACATGCTGTGGCATGCTGGAAAGGTGAGGAGAACATTGTGTTAAAATTCAGATTTAATTACATGGTGTAAATTATTGAATGTAAATACATCAGTGTGCTCTCTATTTAAATAGGTCTGGTTGATTGATGTCAGTCAGTCTGTAGAACCAACCCATCCTCATGGCCTGGAGTTCTTGTTCCGTGACTGTAGGAATATTTCACAGGTAGGTGTGTAACCAGTGTGTCTTTTTTTGTAGATTGTAACAGATTTAAATATTTTTACTACTCAGATAAGTAAGTGATGGCCATACTCTCAGAAATTGAAGGAAGGGATATTGGCTGCCTTTAGAATATGAATATAAAGATCAGGGCTAGGGTAGCTCAATGATAGAGCACTTGGCTTAGAATGTGTGAGTCACTACATGTGTCTCAGCACTGCATATAAATAAAATAAAAGTCCATTGGCAACTAAAAGAAAAACATTTTTAAAATCAATTTATCAGATTTGATTTTTAGCAGATTTTAATTCTGTGCCTCATATTTGAGCAAAATTTCCAAGAGATAAGTTTTGGTTTTGGCTCTTACTATTCAAGCAGTTGAGTAGACATTTAATGTGTGCATCACACTTAAAAAGAAGCTGACATACAGTGAGAGTCTGCATACGTACTGCCATTACTGTTGTCATGAAAAGGAGAACAGTCTCCTTAGTAGGACAGTGTACGGTCACTATCACTGCAAAGCAAAGTAAAAGGATTGGAAGGAAGCACAAAGTTGGGTCACGGTTGTTTGCCATTTCTAAGGGATATGAGTTGTTAGCAACAGGTTTAGATAGGAATGATCTCTCTAAAGGACAGAATAACTTCATTTTGGAAACGACCTCTGAGCCTGCTTGAAATTTTTAATTCAGGAGATTTAGTGCATGTTATTATATCTACACATTCAAAGCAGTGCTAAACAATTTTATATAGACCATTTTTATAGCTGAAGAAGATGCAGTGTGACAAACGAAATCTAAGAGATGAAATGAATATGTAGAGGACGAAATCAAGGAGAACCTGAGTATAGTTAAACTTGAAGTGGGAATATCAGTGTCTGAAATATGGGATTGTGGCTCAGTGGTGGAGCGCTCGCCTAGCGCGGGCGGGACCCAGGTTCGATCCTCAGCACCACATAAAAATAAAGCATTGTGTTGTGTCCATCTACACCTAAAATAAATAATTTTTTTTTTTAAAGAATTCAGTGGTGCCTTACAAGTATACTGTTTCGTTTATAAGAGAATCGTGTCTTTTACTGATGTTCTTACATTTTGTTACTAGTTTTTCCAGAAAGGAGGAGTAAAGGAAGCCCTTAATGAACGGGAACTCTTCAATGCCGTTTCAGGCTTGAATATCTCAGCAGACAATGAAGCTGATTTCTTAGCAGAGGTAAGTGATTACATTTCTTTTTCACCTTGCTGGTGATGAAAAGATGCATAGAGGGGATAACAGAAACCCAGAGCTAATTTTATGCTCTCCTCCTTCAAAACAAAATTGAGACTTTTTTCCCGTTGAGATGTTGTTCTCAGTCTTTTTGAGGCCTAAAACTTAGCATAAACATAGCAAAATACTTCTTCAAGGAGTTCAGTTTTGGTTAAGATGAACAAGTATTTCTAGTTTAGGCCTATTTTCCTTACTTTGTGAGTGAGGAAATTGGTGCACATTCTATTAAGAGCAAGTACCTGCTCTTAATAGAACACCAGAAGTTAGATGTCATCATCCCTGGAAATATTCTTTTATTAAAATATCAGTTACTAGCCAGGTGCTGTGGTGCACACCTGTAGTCCCAGTGGCTCAGGAGGCTGAGGCAGGAAGATTGCAAGTTCAAAGCCAGCCTTAGCAATTTTTTTAGCAAGGTCCTAAGCAACTTATCAAGACCCTGTCTTAAAATAATAAAAAATAAGAAAAAAAGAAAAAGGGGCTGGGGATATGGCTTAGTGGTTAAGTACCCCTGGCTTCAATCCCTGGTACAAATATATATATTATATGTATATATATAATATAATATATGTGATATGATATACTGTAATATAAATATTATATGTAAAATATATATGCTATACATATAGTGTGTATATATGTAATCAGTCACTGAAGCAGATAAGCAAACAGAACTCCTTTTAGAAGATTGCTCAGAATTGAACCAAAACTAAAAAGTGAAACAGTAGCTAATGATTCTCAACATTTTACCAAAGCAGAGAACGATTACACAGTCTGCTCCAGAACTCCCTAGTATGACTTGAATTTGGCCACTCTCTGCTGGAGCCTCTGGCTACAAGAGGAGTGCCAGAAAGATGGTAAATTGCGGCATACTAGCACAAGATAATAGCTCAGTAAGTAGGTGTTAGTGTCGTTTACAAATGTTGAAAATTCCTTTTTCTGTTCCTGAAAAGCTTTATGGAGTGCACAATAAGACCTATCATATTCCAGTTACTAGCTTCATAAATATATGCAGTATTGTCCCTGGGAGTGTAGTCAAGTAAAAACATATCTGTATATGTACCTACATGTGTGCGCACACACACACACACACACACACACACACACTCTAATTCTAATTCAAGGCCAGCATCAATAGGAATGATTCAGTATTAAGAGAGTGAAAATACTGCCTTCATCTAAAGTATGATTTCTGCCAAGTAGGAATTTGACAAATGAATTCATTGTATTGATTTTGTAGATAGAAGCTTTGGAGAAAATGAATGAAGATCATGTTCAGAAGAATGGAAGGAAAGCGGCTTCATTTTTGAAAGATGATGGAGACCCGCCAGTGCTATATGATGAATAGTACCTGCACCCACTGCTTTCTTTGTCAACACAATGGTGATTGTCTGCTGCAATAGCTAATGAAGTTGTGGGTGACTTGACGTACCAAAACAAGGAGGGGTGAACAATGGTGCTTCTGTGCTTTCCCCCTTGTAACCCATGTGCCAGATGTGTGGAATTTTTAGCTAAGCATTGAGAGAATAAAATGTCACTACCTCTCATCTTATGAACAGGATAATATAATTCTTTAACAGCTGTAGATCATCTAGTTGAAGGAAACTGAATTTTAAATGACTCATGATATAAAATGTTTTGATGAGAAATTTTAAAACTAGGTAACATTTCTAAATATGGGAAGGAAAGGACAGATGTGTTTACAAGGGAGGTTTTGTGACCACACCTTTGCGATATTCACCTTCCTGTTTTGTGTTGCATTTTTGCTCAATTATTTTATCAGCCTAAAATTAGCCTTTCTCAATTCTTCTTCCATATTTTGACCATGATTCTAAAAGAAAGTGTCTTCTCCTTAGTGAGTATTACAAATGGAGATTACAAATGGCCTATTCCTACTAGCCATTCTGGTTTCAAAATGGCTAGTAGGAATAGGCATGAGCAATGTAGTTTTTATTGGTACATCTTAAAAATGAACAGAATGCTACTTTTCCCATGCTCATAATCAAGAAAAGCATCATAGGTTTCTAAAAGAGACAAATATATGAGAACTTCTTTATCAACCAAAATTTTAAATTTAATTTTCAACTTTTCTACATTTAGGTTAAAAGGTTGGGATATAGCTCACAGCATGGCTGCTCTACATTTATAATGAAGATGTAAATTATTTAGAGGGACAGAATATAAGACTTAACTATACTTGCTATATTTTAATGAAATCAGTGAAAGTTCAGATTACATTTCATTAAAACCATATACTTATTGGGCTGGGATGTAGCTCAGTGGCAAAGCGTCTGCCTTGCATTCGCAAAGCCCTGGGTTCGACCCCCAGTTCCAAAAAAGACAAAAAAAAGAACCCCACCAAAACCATATACTTATTGATTATTGATTAATTTTGAGAAAAATAACTAGAGATATTAAAGGATGAAAAATATGTATAAAGTAAGTCAGATACCAAACAAACCAACTAATTTGAGCTGCCTATTAAAACACTTTTAATAGTTTTTAGCAATGGCTACACACTGCCTTTTTTTTTTTTTTAAGAGAAAAGCAATCACAGTACTGGAAAAGTACTTTGGCTATGTTAGGACTGAAGTTTATTAACTACAACATAATCATTCCTCCAATTACTGAAGTTACACTGGAACCAGTAAAGACCCAAACTTTCTGTCCAGTAGTAGAAAGTAAAAATCTAAACATTATTTACATTTAGAAGTTTTTCTTTTAACATTATTTTAAAATGCCAAATATGTTCTTTCTAGAAAAATATTTATTTTTGTTTCTGTTATATAGCTTTTAATTGCATTTCAGAGAAGTGTGATTTGGGGTAGGCTTATATTTCTGAAATGTTTACTACTCTGAAATAAAGATTTAGATCACTGGCAATTATTGGCTTTACAGAAATTTCAGAGAACTAATTTTTGAAATAATCATTTAAAACTTTGTTTTCTGACATACTGTTTGACAAAAAGCAGCAAACCATTGCTTGGAGTGTGCTGTGAACATGCCTTTTAAGAAATTAAAAATGCAGAGATCATTTTAGAATTGTTTTTTTGTGTGGTTTCTTCCCGTTCCTTCTATTAACTTATATCCTGGCACCAAATTACTATTTTTATATACAATTCAAGAATACTGTTTTAAGTAAAAATTTTCCCCTTCAACTCATATTTTAATTTTACTCTCAACTGGTCTACTTTATATTACAAATAGGATTTCCCCTCCCTCTTATGGATCAGGGAGTAAATATTTCACATAGTGGAAAATGTTGGTTTTACTATAAAATTCAATACAAAAAAATACACATAAATATATATAAAAATGGAAATAGGGATATTTTACCTCACCATTAATGGAAGTGGATATAAATAGGTATAAAATAAGTTATCAACAAGGATGACTGTAAAGAATTTTTATTTCAATAAAATAATTCATTGACAGTTTCTTTTATAATTACAAAAAAGATTTTTTTCTGCTTACCAAAAATAATGCAAATTGACTTGAATTTAAATATTACAGAAATTTAGAAATGTTAAAAAATCCCTTGATTTCCAAAATCTACTGTTAATAGTTTGGCACACATCCCTGCCAATTTATTTTTTACCCTCAGCATGTTATTTTCTCTTTATAAAAACTCTTCAAACAAAAATTGGGATGAAGCTGATGGGGAAATGTTGAACAGCATGGATGCCCTTAGGAAGATGGAGGAACCAGAGGTCCTGAGATGTGGTCAAGGGGATGGATGCATTTCTTACTGCTCACTCAGGCTCTGACCATCACAAGAGACTGTGATGAAAATTGAAATTCCAAGCCTTTTTTCAGCACTTTAGAAGTGGGGCTGGGGGGAAGCTTATCTGATTTTATTTTCAAACCTTGATACTTATGTTTATGAAAAAATATATTTTTCTTTTAAAACTTTACAGGGATTTCATAAAGAATAAGTTTTTTAAGTTTATGCTTAGTCATATCCATTTACTAGGTTGAAAGCCTCTAATTTTTTTTCTTTTGTTTTTCAATTTCCAATTCAAAAATAATAGGATTTTTTTTTTTTTTTTTTTTTTTGTACCAAGGATTGAGCCAGGGGTGCTTAACCACTGAGCCACATCCCTAGCCCTTATTATTTTTAATTTTTAGACAGGTTCTTGCTAAGTTGCTTTGAACTTGCGATACTCCTGCTTCAGCCTCTTAAGCTGCTGGGGTTATAGGTGTGCACCTGGCAAAAGATTACATTTGGAAGAGCATGACTAGACTTTAAAACTTTCTCAAATGTAGCTAGCTTTTTGAGAGTTAAGATAAAATATAGGGGGCTGGGAGTGTGGTTCAGTAGTAGAGCATTTCCCCAGCATGTATGATGTTGGGGGTTTGATTTCCAGCATTGTGGAAAAAAATAAAATGCAGTAGATAAGAAAGCAAATGGAGGGGTAAGGTGGGGGTATTCATTACAGAATAAATGCGTGAGCAACTACTTTTAGCTCTATGAACTTAATGCTTTTTGATATGAAAAGAACACTTGAACAGAATACTTGACAAAAAGAATGAACAGTATTTGGGGAAAGCCTCAAATGAGCCAATATTTATGAAAAATGTGGAAAACAACAAAAAGGATTTTTAAAGTTAAATCCAAAGCTTGAAGAACTATGTTCATTGTTTGAAGTATTTGGTGTGTTATTAAATAACAAAATAGCTATTCATCTATTTAATCTTAAGTTGTATCATATTTATAAAAACCTAAGAGCCTGCAATAGCCCAAATGTGTCCTCCACAAATGTATATGTTGAAGCTCCAACTCCTAATGGGACTGTATTTGGAGATAGTTACCCCTTATATTATGAGTTGGACAGAATAGTAAATCATGCCAATGTGACAAGGCAAGGGGGGTTGGCTAGAGTGGTTCATGGTGGAGAAGCGACTAGGAAGGTTTAACAAGGTGAGCTTGTACAGATTCTTCATCTTTGCCTCATCTCTGGATATACAGTCAATATACAGGGATGTCTTTTTCTCTAGGTAGAGGGTGGCACCTTCCATGTAGAAGTTTCATCTGCTTTTAGGAAGGTCAGGGCTGTCCTTCCTGTATCTGCTGTTTTATTTTTAAGTTTCTTTAATAATCAATGTGTGAGGGTGGCATGTCTTGGGCTGGCATGTTCTGTACCCCTTCACATGACTGTTGGCTCCAGGCCTGAATTTCTTGCTGGCTGGCAGGAGATGTCAGTCCTTAAGGTAGCAGCCTCTACAAGAGCCCCGCTCGCATGCTCTTGCCACATAATAGCTGGTTCCCCCAAAAGCCATTTATCCAAGAAACAATAAGGTAGGAGTCAGTGTCACTTATCACCTATCCCCAGAAGTTTTACTGTCATTTGTATAATATCCTACTGGTATACAGGTCAGCCCTCTTCATCGTAGGAGGGGGCCACACAAGGACGAAGTACGAAGAGGCAGGAATCATTGAAGGCCATAATGGATGCTGGCTACCCCTACATCCAAAACTGTACAGCCATCACCTCATCAACTCCTTCCCTCTCCCCCAATTTATTTTTCTATAGAACTTACTCCTGTTTAATACATTTTACTCAACTCTATTTCTACCTGCTACATTATTAAGCCCCATGAGAGCAGGAATTTTTTCCTGCTTTATTCATTGCTGTATCCCAAGTATTACGATGGTGCCTGGCTCATTTGAGTAGAAGCTCCAATGTATTTTGAATATATGAAAGGTTTATTATAGCTATATTGGCTCAGAGGCTAAAACTGGGATAGAAATTACATTGATTTCTGAGTTTCTAATAACTATCCACAAAGGAAATAGGCTTTGTGGCAGGACATGAGCTCCTTATTACCTAAATTGTTAACACAGGGGCTGGATGATCTCAATGGTGGGTTTGTTACAGATGAGTACGAAGGAGTTGGTTGGGTGGGTTAATTTTTGTGGAACTTTCTGTATCTTCAGTTACCCTTACAGCAACAACAAAAATCCACCTCTATCCTTTAGGGTCCCACCAACTGGATCCAAGAATTGAATCAACATAGGTTAGGTTAACAGGAGAAAAGCATACAAACTTATTTAATACAGGTTTTACATGGCACTGGAGCCCTTGTAAGGAAACAAAGGCCCAAAGAAGCAATTAAAGTCAGTTACTCATATACTGAATTAGAGTAGTCATGAAGAAGCAACTAAATTATATGGGAAGGCTTAAAAGATGAGATTTTTTAAAAAAAAGTGTCAGCCCCCACAACAAGGTGTGTGCATAATTCATTTGGTCTTGATTTCTCATCTTTGAGGATAAAGATACTTTTCTTCTAGTATAGTCAGGGCAATTTTTGTATGCAAATTTAAAAAAAATTTTATTTATCAGTGGACTTTATTTTACTATTTATATCCAATGTTTCATACATGCTAGGCAAGCACTCTACCACTGAGCCACAATCCTAACCCCTCCACCTTTTTTTTTTTTTTTTTGGTACCAAGGATTGAATTCAGGGGCACTTGACCACTAAGCCGTATCCCCAGTATTTTATTTAGAGACAGGGTCTCACTGAGTTGCTTAGTACCTCGCTTTTGCTGAGGCTGGCTTTGAACTTGTGATCCTCCTGCCCCAGCCTCCTGAGCCCTTGGGATTACAGGTGTGTGCCACTGTGCCAGGTTTCATGTGGGAATTTCATCTGCATTTAAGAAACAGCATGAGGGTCAGAGTTATCTTCTTGTACCTGTTGTTTTTCAAATGCCCTTGATTTAAATAGTCAATATACAGGATTGGCATTTTTTAACTCCTTAAGTCTATACTTAATTTTTTTCTGTATGAAGATAATTTATGTTCACTTCTAAAATTAAACAATGCCAAACCAAAAAAAAAAAGAGTTCAAGCAACTATTCTATACATTATTTCTACGACTTTTTATATATACATATAAATATATAAATAAGCATGCATTCAAACAAAATATTCATGAAATAAATGTGATATGTAGTCAAGTTTTGCAGTAAGTATAGGTCTATACTTTTAATAACAGCTTCTTATAGAACAAAAGTTATTCATGCACATTTTAAAACCAAAAGAAATTTAGAAAGTTCAACAAAAAAAAGTAAAAGTTACCCAAACACCTGCCCAATAGTGAGTCACTACAGATTTTGGTGTATATCCCTTGAGACACCTGTCATATAGTTTGACAAAGAATAACAACAAGCAAAGCTCAAAAAGCCAGGAAAACCCTATGCTTTTGTTTTAGCTTTTAGAAGTTGTTAGAAGCACAATCTAGGCCAGTCGGGTTTAAAATAAGCATGTATAGCTGCTTGTCTTACACACCAGGAGGTACAGGGCTCTGGCAAACAGGGCCAGAGTAAAATAAGGAAGAGAAAGAAAAACTAGTGAACCCTCTGCTGATTCATTCACCCTCAGGGCAGGAAGGAGACCCTAACCTCATCTAAGGCTGGGGGCTGCACTTGATTCTTCCTCTAATTAAGCTGACTTTCTCCTAGGTAGGTGCCCCCCACCCTGTGTCCCACAGAAAGCCTGGAGTTTGCCAGGACTTTTCAGCAGGATTTGAACCCCCATTTTTACTACCCCAGCCCTGAATATACCTAAAACAATGTTTTTGTTTATTTGTTTCAGTAATTGGAATTGAACTCAGGGGCACTTTAACACTGAGCTACATCCCCAGCTCTTTCTCTTTATTTTGAGACAGGTTCTTGCTAATTTGCTCAGGCCTCCCTGAATTGCTGAGGCTGGCCTGGAACTTGTGATCCTCTTTGTTGGATATGGAAAATGACAAACCCTGAGATAATGTGGCCTGGGAGAGGGAATGAGGGAGAACACAACACATTGATCCTTTCCCAATACTTTCTTTCCCAGTGACAAGACAGGTCCTGGGGAGGATATATCCATCAAGTCTGAAGTGACAGTCTCTGGGAAGAGGCCAAAGCATTGATCCTTCCCTAAACCAATCCTTTCCCAGATACTGACCGCTGACCCCAGAACCCCTCTCATCTCACCCAGTAAAACAGACCCCAAATTCCTGAGTGCCCAAACTGACACGCTAATTAGTTAAGTCACCTC